GAATCAGACTCCCTGACTTCAGACTACACTACAGAGCCTTGCATTTTAAGCGAAGGATTTTGAACTTTAACCTGAAAGCCATGAGAAACCATCGAAGGATTTCAGGCAGGAAGTGATTTTTTATTTAGCTTCTAGAGGCATCATGGAGGACAGATTGAAGGGGGTGGGGCTGAGCTCACTTCATTGAAGTAAGGAGTGATGTGTACAGAAGCAATGGAGGGAGAAAGGAAGGGTCGGTGTCTTACTGGTTGTGAGAGGTAAGAGAAAGAGAAAGCTAGGATGATGTCTTGGTTCCCAGCTTGAGTGACAGTGACAAAAAGGGATTTTGCTATTCACTGAGATAAAAAAAAATACAGAATAAGGAGCAGATTGGCGTAAAGGAGAGCCATGGTCAGATATTGGCAGATTTTTATGGCAGTAGGAACTGGAGGCATGATTGGAGAGTGGTGATGAATTGGTTTACAATGCAGTCCAGCCTGGTTAGAGAAGGGACTCGGTGTTGGTTGGTAGCCCAAGATAGATGAGACTCATTCGAGGTCTCCAAGTTGAAGAACAGATGTAGTGGGAGAGGTGAAAGGCTGGAAGGCTGCGTTTCAAGAAAGAGACTTAAGAGTTTAAAATTTTCTGCGTGGTGCTTTGGAGGCGATGACAATATGCTTAGACAGGTGTTTGGCATGTCTGTTTCCCTCTAGAAATGGTGTGTTTATTTGTAGGAGCATTTTTTCCCCAGGAGTGGATCTGTGTCTTTCATCAGACTCTCAAGGAATCTCTTAGGACCCCATAAAAATTAAGAATTGGGGGGCTTCCCTGGTGGCACAGTGGTTGAGAGTCCGCCTGCCGATGCAGGGGACGCGGGTTCGTGCCCCGGTCCGGGAAGATCCCACATGCCGCGGAGCGGCTGGGCCCGTGAGCCATGGCCGCTGAGCCTGTGCGTCCGGAGCCTGTGCTCCGCAGCGGGAGAGGCCATGGCGGTGAGAGGCTCGCGTACCGCAAAAAAAAAAAAAAAGAATTGGGATTAGTTAGCACCATCTTAAGCTAATTCTCACATTTCAGACATACCTGTCACGCAGGTGCTGTGTGAGCGGGAGGCAAATATTTCTTTATAAAATTTTACTCAGAAGGGCCCTACACAACATGAAGGGAAGAAAATAAAAGCCCAGTGGAAAAATGTAGGCTGACAGGTTAACAGTTTATTAATATTGTCCATTTTCTCCAGTGTTTCCTCCCACTTTTATCAATAATATTTGGGCAGATGAGATTGTATGCATTGGCAAGCAGTTCGGTATATGGCATCATTTATATTTATAAATAAATGTGTATTTATCTTACTGTTTCAGGCTTTGCTTTTTTTTTTTTTTGGCCGTGCTGCATGGCCTGTGGGTGGAATCTTAGTTCCCCGACCAGGGATCAAACCCATGCCCCCTGTAGTGGAAGCGTGGAGTCTTAACCATTAGACTGCCAGGGAAGTCCAGCCTTTGATTTAAAAAAAAAAAAAAAAAGTTTTTAGATTTCTTTGTTCCTAAGCTTTGGTGGACAATAAAATGGAAAAAAAGCTCTTCCTCTGGGATCAGAGTTAATAATCTGTTCCTATAACCTAAGAGGTGACATAGAATTTGAACGGAGTGCTACTTCTTTTATAGTCTTAATACTACCTGCTTAGCTTGACAGGTAAGATGGGAGCCAAGATTAGAGGTACTTAGAAAATCTCGTCTGTATCCGTAACATTCCCTGTAGAAGTTATTTGCAGTAGCTGAAGCAAGTGCATCTCATCTCATTACAGGTGCCAATTTTTTATTGTCAGGTACAAAAATGAGAGCTTTGCCAAGTTATTTTTTTATGGAAGTTTTCTTTTTAAAAATGCTGAATCTTCAGAAAACATTATAGTGTGTAATAATCCGGTCGATTGGAATTCCAGGATGACATTTATAGAAGTAAAATATCTTTTCTGATAGGAAAATATACTTTATTCCTCTTGCAAATGCTTAAGGAGGCAGGGCCTTGACCAGAGTGAGGGGCCTTGTGGAGCAGTTTCAGTGCTTTTACTAACCATGTTACATCTCATTTCATCCTCACAAAAATCCTAGGAGATGTGGGTACTGTTGTCCTCTTATATTAAGTGAATAAAATATTAGTAAGATGCAATGATGAGGTTTGAATTCACATATTCTGACTTGACACCCCATGCTTTTTCCACTGGACCACAAAGCTGGGAAAAGCGTTGAGGTGTCAGTTGACAGATGGCCCTAAATTCAAAGTTGAGCAGTTTAAATTCAGTCTTATGCTGAGTGAGAATGGTCAGATTAAAGTATTGTGGAAATTATGAGCTCATGCTCAGGAAGGGGTGATGAAGGCGTGGAGGCATGGAGACCAGTTTGAAGCAGTTTCTGGTATGAGAGATTATGACTTGGGTGAGATATTGGTGCGTGCCTAGGAAGCCACTTCTTCGTACCCCAGGAAAGTTGTTTGCTGAGCTCCTATTTTTCCATGGGGTGTATTGGGTGAAGGAGGGCAAAGAAGGTTAAGTCGGTTATAAAAGGAGTGTCTTTCTGCTACTGTATCCAGATGTAGTATCTCCTCCTCGCCTTAGAGCTACTTCCCTGTCATACCCTTGAATCAGGCGACACCTGGCAAGTTCCGACATAAATGGTTTATCACTTCAGCCATCCCCACTCAATTTATACATACGGTCATTCAGGCATTAGTTCTCATGCTAGGATGGTGGCTGCGGAAGTGCAGTAGAAGGGACCAGTTGAGAGGTATGTAGAAGAGGCAGAACCTGACAGTGAATCCATTGGCAAATACTTTCTGAGCACCTGCTGTATAGTACACACTATATTTGGCATGTAGAAGAAGAGATTGGTGGATATTAGTGAGTGCTAAGTGATTTCTCAAAGAAGAAGCTTCTTGAAACAGCCAGAGAATGCTTTCTAGAAGCATCACTTTACCTGGTCCTTGGGAAATAATCATAGATATTGAGGAAGTTGGAAAGTGTTGCTTACTTAGGGAAGCAGAGAGTAAATTCTTTTTCGATGGGTTAAATCTGAAGTATCAAAGGCATGGAAAGTGTGAGGTTTAGAAATCTTCTTCATGTAGGTGGTGGTTCACAGCCTAAGAGTATAAGAAACTCTTAAGGGACTGTATACAGACTGAATGAGTCTTAGGGGATCGTTCAAGAGGAATGGTGGAGGAAGAAGGAAACAGTTACAGAGACGAGGATTCAGAAGACCTTGAGAAGCAGGGCAGCACCGTGAGGAGCTCTGGGCTTTGGAGTCAGGTGAGCTACGTGGGAAAACCAGGGTGGCCACTCACTATGTGGCCTTGGGCAAGTAACGGAACATCCACTGGTCTGGTCGGCTTTCTCCTTTGTCAGGAGCAGATAATTTTACCTGCCTGGTAAAGTTATGAGTACTATGTAAAATAACTGTGTAAACTTCCTAGTATAAAGACGGCATGTAATAAATGGACATTTTTATTATTAGCTGTTAGACTCATGGAAAAAAAGGATCATTCCAAGGAGAAAGTTGACATCAGGGTCAGATACATTTTAAAGATTGAGAAGGATGCAGCCTGGGTTGCACTATGGGATGTGAGAGATTTTCACCTTTAAGAATGGTGAATTCTGAATGGTGATTTTCCTTGTTCCCATGTAATTCTCTGCAGGTTTCCAAATAGCTTCCTTTAGAAACAAATAATGCCTTACTTGACTGCGTATTACTATTTTTTCTTAACTGAACTAGAAATTGGGAACATTGGCCACTCTATGTTCATTTCCTGTGTCCTTAGTTAACATAACTTCTGCCCCCAATTCTCTGGTGATTCCATGGTTCAGGGAATTCTGGTTTTTCTTTAATATAGCCTGAATGCTTTTGGTTTTAAATTTTGAGGTATTTAAAGTGAAGCTTATTGAATAGTTTTATTTTTTGCTTTTGTTGACATTAGTCTGCTATGATTCATTACACCCTCAGTTGCCTCAACAGATAAATAAGAATTGAATTTCAGTTATGTTAAGCTCTGTGTTTTCTAAAGCAATACCAAAGAGAAAGGCTTACGTTAGGGTCAGGAGTACAAAAGGAACTATTATGTAATGTTTGCCTCACTTTCTATTCAAGTGTGAAATAGGTAGGAATTCAGGAGAAGCAATTGGAATATCAGAACAGTTAGGAACAGAATATAATAAGTATATATTATATAAATATAATAAAATTTAACTGTTTTTGTTGTTGTCGTTGTTAGGTCGTTGTTAGCCATTAAAATAAGTGTTGAGCTCATGGACCCAGGGCCTTAACAAAATTAGGAACAAGCTGATGGAATAGTAGCCATCCCCAAATCTGCCCTTCAGGCTCTGGTGCCCAGCCCTGCCTACTTCCTTTCACTTCCTTGAACATACTGTGTTTCTTCTTTTTATTTGTCTGTGGCACAAGCTGTTCCATTAGGCTGAAATACTCTCTATTCATCCTCTGGAATTCAGTTCACACGTCACTTCCTCAGGGAAGCCTCTGACCCTCCCCCCAGGAGGGTCAGATTCCATTCTCCTGTACCCTGCACTTCTCCCTCTTAGAGAGCACTGACCACAGCTGTATGCTCCACCAGGGCAGGGAACGAGTCTAGCTTATTCAGGGCTCTAAGCCAATCACTAAGAGCAGAGTGCACAATAGGCACTCAGTAAATATTTGTCGAATGAAGTTCAGCATTTATTAAGCACCAAGTGCCTCACTTCGTTAACTCCTCACAGTAACCCTTTTAGGTATTCTTATCCCCATTAACAGATGAGGAAAGTGACACTAGAAAAGTAACACGCCCCAGGTCACATAGTCAACGAATGGCACAGCCAGAACTTGACCCACGTCACTTTGACGCCAAAGCCAGTGTCCTTTTTGCTTTTACTTCTCTCATTGCGTGCTGTTATCCCACTGAAAATCCAGTGTTCTAAGCGTGGCACTACTTGATGGACCACAGAAAAGCCAGCAGAGGGCCTGATCAGAAGGTAGCTTTGTACTTACAATGTGCATTCGTAGTGTGCCTGCGTGCTTTCCCCAGTCACAGGCTCTGCTTTCATTTGGAGGATACACAACTCTCCATGTCTCAGTCCACATGGTCTGGGTGAGCTCAGCCCTAGGGAAGAAGCACTGTGCCGATCAGCATGACCCATCCCACTGAAATATGACGATTGACTCAGGGGTGGGCTTGTGACCTAATATTGTCCATAAGAGCCAATTGAGACTCGATCTAGAACTTTGGTTGGAGTCTTTGCAAAAGTGGACTTGATCTTTCCAACTGGCCATGGGCCCTGGAAGCATGAAGATTGGCATTACTTCAGAGACTCACCACCTGAAACAGAGAGGAGGGCAGATGTGACCCTAGACACTGTCTGGCTCCTGATAACATTATCTGAGCCTTGCTCAAGCTGTGCCTGAGGTTTTCTGCCCGACTACTTTTCACTAATTTGAGTCAGTGGAGTCCTTTTCCTGCATAAGCCTTTTTGGATTGGAAGTTCTGTCACCTGCAATCAAGGGAATCTAACGAACACAGGACCTAAAAGACACTGGACGTGTTTTGACTCTTTTCTGTTTCCATTTTGCACAGACTTAGGTCACTTCCTTAGGCTCTTTGAATGATCATAAATGTGTGTTTTCTGGGCCTGGGGAAGAAAGCAGTGAGAAGGTAGTACGGCAGCGATGCTTGTCAAAACAGGTGTTGTGGCTTTAGGAATCGTGGCCCTAGGACTTGCTCAGTAACTTGTGGAATGTAAGAAATTTCACTTACTTATTTTTCTGCACCTATAAAGACTGAGGATAATATTTGCTACACTGGGGCTTCCCTGGTGGTCCAGTGGCTAAGACTCCACGCTCCCAATGCAGGTGGCCCAGGCTCGATCCCTGGTCAGGGAACTAGATCCTGCATGCCGCAACTAAGATCCCACGTGCCAAAACTAAGACCCGGCGCAGCCAAATAAATAAATATTAAAAAAAAAAATTTGGCTACCCTGTTCAAACAAGAGGGAGTTGATAAGAATGTGCCTAGTACTTTGTACTTTGGTATGACTCACCTTCCAATGTGGCAGTAACACTTCACCATGTCAACCTGTGGCTTTTCATATTTCTCAATCCCTAGACTGACCTAACCAGTAGTGAGGTGGGTAAATAAGGAGGCTCCTACTTTTGGAAGACCAGAGAGGGAGGATATTCATGTTCCATAGCTCAGGAGGCCATAGATGCATGTCCTAACCTCACTGAAACATTAACTGTTTTCACGCTCAAGAGAGAATAGTAAGCTTTCTTTCTGCTCTATGGATTTCACAAATGCTGTGGAGCAGCTAAGCCCATGCGCCACAACTACTGAGCCCTCGCGCGGCAACTGCTGACGTCCACGCACCTAGAGCCTATGCTCCACAACAAGAGAAGCCACCACAATGAGAAGCCTGTGCAATGAAGAGTAGCCCCTGCTCGCCGCAACTAGAGAAAGCCCACACGCAGCAACGAAGACCCAACGCAGCCAAATAATAAATAAATAAATAAATAATATTTGCTAGCTGTATTTAGAGTTACCTGGCTGTAGAAGGAAAAATCTGTATGTTCAAATAGCTTAATTTTCCACAGTGAAGGAAAGCCCTCCCAGAGACACTAAGAAAAATGAAACCAAGCCAGCAAAGATATAAACCATTAATTTTATTTCCATTCCTAAAATGTATGTGAATTTATTGATTTGATATTTAAAGTAGTCTCTTTGCAAAATCATCTCAGAAAATATTCTAAATTTATTAAAATGCATGCAAACTATTGCTGAAAATTCTAAGTCCTCTTATTGACCAACTTGTTCTCAAAGCACTTGTGATGATTTTCCAAGGTTTCCATGGTTACAGGGAACAAAGAAATCATCTTGAGACCAGAGTGGAAATTTGATCAGAATAATCCGAACAGTATTTATCTACCTCTTTACAGACTCACAGCTTGCTTATTTTGAGGCGGCTCTTACAAAGCGTATCTAATTATTCAAGGTTTCTCTAATTACAGTGCGCCTTTTCTTTGCCTGCAATTTACTACATTCAGCAAAGTATACGTTAGATAATAAGGAAAATGAACCCAAGAACTCTAACTGCTTCATATAGTTTTATGGATATACTGAAGTGTCAAGTGCAAACTTCATCTTAAGAATTGAAGACTGGAATGCAGGGAAACAAACTCTGGTGGAATACCAGAATAAAAAACATAACAAAGCTGGGCAGAACTAGGTGTGGCATCCTGGTACATTAATTTTGAAAGCCAAAGCCAGCCCAATGATACTAAGGACAACAAATAGATTCAGATTTCTTTTTTTTTTTTTTTTTTTTTGCGATACGCGGGCGTCTCACTGTTGCGGCCTCTCCCGTTGCGGAGCACAGGCTCTGCACGCGCAGACTCAGTGGCCACGGCTCACGGGCTCAGCCGCTCCGCGGCATGTGGGATCTTCCCGGACCGGGGCACGAACCCACGTCCCCTGCATCGGCAGGCGGGCTCTCAACCACTGCGCCACCAGGGAGGCCCCGATTCAGATTTCTTTAAAAAAAAAATCTGTGCTGTTTAGGTTTGGAGTTTTCAACTAGTTAGTATTTCTTTATTTAGTTTGTGAATTATTAAGATTTTTTGGGAACTTCCGTGCTGGCGCAGTGGTTAAGAATCCGCCTGACAATGCAGGGGACACGGATTCGAGCCCTGGTCCAGGAAGATCCCACATGCTGCGGAGCAACTAAGCCTGTGCGCCACAACTACTGAGCCTGTGCTCTAGAGCCTGTGAGCCACAACTACTGAAGCCTGTGCACCTAGAGCTTGTGCTCCGCAACAAGAGAAGGCACCACAATGAGAAGCCCGCGTGCCGCAACTAGAGAAAACCCACGCACAGCAACGAAGACCCAACGCAGCCAAAGATAAATAAATAAATGAATTAATTAAAAAAAAGAGATCTTTTCACATCTCCCTCTTCAAAGTCTTCTTTTGAGTGATTTAACTGCTAATTAGCATCAACCTCTCAAAGAGAAGGTAAAATTAAAATCTGTTGGGTAATAATTTAAATAAGACAGAAAAAATCTGAAGTTACTGAATAAAGTAAGGTTTGAGGATAATGGTGGACTTCAATTATGAAAGCCCATTGTTTCCATTAAGGGAGAGTTCAAAGCTGTTTTGTTTTGTTTTTGATTCTTTGGGAGACAATAGAAAATAGCTAAATAGGTTATAACATAAACTTTTAGTGATGAAATTCAAATTTACCTAAAAAAGGGGGTTCCCTTCTCCCAATTAGTTTTGTGTGTGTGTGTGTGTGTGTGGCTGTGTTGCGTCTTCATTGCTGTGTGCAGGACCTCTCTAGCTGTGGTGAGCAGGGGCTACTTCTTTGCTGTGGAGCATGGGCTCTAGGTACACGGGCCTCAGCAGTTGTATCTCGTGGCCTCAGTAGTTGTGGCTCGTGGGCTCCAGAGCACAGGCTCAACAGCCGTGGCACGCGGGCTTCGTTGCCCCATGGCATGCGGGATCCTCTGGACCAGGGATCTAACCTGTGTTCTGCACATTGGCAGGCAGACTCTCAACCACTGCACCATGATGGAAGTCCCCCAATTAGTATTTTAAGTGTAAAACCCAAACCTTAAATTATTCGAGCCCATCAGGTCTCAACTCCTATTTCACAGCATATCCATAGATGTGAGGGCGCAGGAGCTCGCAGGCCAGGGGGGCCTGTAAGTGCTGCAGCTTCACCTTGGAGAAGCGGGCCCACTCCAGGGCCTTCCAGCTCTCTCTGGTCAGGTTGCATCCATCAAACAGAAGGTACCAGACAGGATTCAGGACCTGTTGCCAGAAGTAATTCCAGGTTGAAGGCTTAGCTGCTACATGCTCCATGAAATAAAAAGCTCCTCCCTGAGAAAGAAAAGAAAAAAAAAAAAACACATCAAGGATTTTAGTTTGGGGGAAAAAGAATTATAAGATGATTTTTAAAAATTAATTAATTTATTTATGGCTGCACTGGGTCTTCGTTGCTGTGCGCGGGCTTCCTCTAGTTGCAGTGAGTGGGGGCTACTCTTCATTGCGGTGCACAGGCTTCTCATTGCGGTGGCTTCCCTTGTTGTGGAGCATGGGCTCTAGGCGCGTGGGCATCAATAGTTGTGGCTCACGGGCTTTAGAGCACAGGCTCAGTAATGGTGGCGCATGGGCTTACTTGCTCCGCGGCATGTAGGATCTTCCCGGAATAGGGCTCAAACCCGTGTCCCCTGCATTGGCAGGTGGATTCTTAACCACTGGACCACCAGGGAAGTCCTATAAGATGATTAAATGTCAGATTTCAGTGGCCCCAAAGGCCAACTTCATGAGAAGACATGGAGAAATTCAAACTTACTATGATACTATTCTGGTAAATAGTGTCGTCTTCTGTCAGATTTTATACAGAGTTGCCAATCTATATTTTCTGTTCATAAAGGTAATACATAATAATAGTTAGAATTTAAAGCAGTTACTGCATGCAAGATCCTGCCTGTAAGGCCTATCACATGTTAACTCAATCCTCACAATACACTTATTTGGTAAGTATTATTATTATCATTCCTGTGTTCTACAGATGAGGAAACAGAGTCACATAGAAAATAAACAACTTGCCCAAGGTCATACAGCTTACAAATGTCAGAATCAGGTTTTTACCTTGGGTGGTCTGGCTCCAGAGGCTGGCAACACTGTCTCACCAATATTATTTTAGAAAATTCAGAAAATATAGAAAAGTTTACAAAGAAAAACGGTCAATCATCTTTCATCACCTCGAGACAACTACTGTTAAGATTTTGTGGAAGATGGTGGAGTAGAAGGACATGCACTCATTCCTTCTCGTGAGAGCACCGGAATCCCAACTAACAGTCATCGACAGGAAGACACTGGAACACACCAAAAAAGATACCCCACATCCAAAGACAATGGAGAAGCTGCAGTGAGATGGTAGGAGGGGCGCAATCAGAATAAAATCAGTCCCATAACTGCTGGGTGGGTGACTCACAAACTGGAGAACACTTATACCACAGAAGTCCACCCACTGAAGTGAAGGTTCTGAGCCCCACGTCAGGCTTCCCAGCCTGGGGTGTCTGGCAATGGGAGGAGGAATTTCCAGAGAATCAGACTTTGAAGGCTAGTGGGATTTGATTGCAGAACTTCGACAGGACTGGGGGAAACAGATTCCACTCTTGGAGGGCACACACAAAGTAGTATGCACATCAGGATCCAGGGGCAAGGAGCAGTGACCCCATAGGAGACTGAACCAGACCTACCTGCTAGTGTTGGAGGGTCTCCTGCAGAGGCGGATGGTGGCTGTGGCTCACCACCGGGACAAGGACACTGGCAGCAGGAATTATGGGAAGTACTTACTTGGCATGAGCCCCCCCCCCCCCCCCCCCACCTCGGCAGTCTGCCATTAGCCCCACCAAAGAGCCTGTAGCCTCCAGTGCTGGGTTGCCTCGGGCCAAACAACCAACAGGGAGGGAACTCAGCCCCACCCATCAGCAGACAAGTGGATTACAGTTTTACTGAGCTCTGCCAACCAGAGCAACACCCAGCTCTACCCACCACCAGTCCCTCCCATCAGGAACCTTGCACAAGCCTCTGAGATAGCCTTATCCACCAGAGCGCAGACAGCAGAAGCAAGAAGAACTACAGTCCTGCAGCCTGTGGAACAGAAACCACATTCAAAGAAAGATAGACAAGATGAAAAGGCAGAGGGCTATGTCCCAGATGAAGGAACAAGATAAAACCCCAGAAAAACAACTAAGTAGAGTGGAGATAGGCAACCTTCCAGAAAAAGAATTCAGAATAATGATAGTGAAGATGATCCAGGACCTTGGAAAAAGAATGGAGGCAAAGATCGAGAAGATGCAAGAAATGTTTAACAAAGACCTAGAAGAATTAAAGAACAAACACCTAGAAGAATTAAAGAACAAACAAACAGAGATGAACAATACAATAACTGAAATGAAAAATACCCTAGAGGAATCAATAGCAGAATAACTGAGGGAGAAGAACGGATAAGTGACATGGAAGACAGAATGGTGGAATTCACTGCCACAGAACAGATTAAAGAAAAAAGAATGAAAAGAAATGAAGACAGCCTAAGAGACCTCTGGGACAGTATTAAATGCACCAATATTCGCATTACAGGGGTCCCAGAAGGAGAAGAGAGAGAGAAAGGACCCAAGAAAATATTTGAAGAGATTATAGTCGAAAACTTCCCTAACATGGGAAAAGAAATAGCAACCCAAGTCCAGGAAGTGCAGAGAGTCCCAGGCAGGATAAACCCAAGGAGAAACACGCCAAGACACATAGTAATCAAATTGACAAGAATTAAGGACAAAGAAAAATTATTAAAAGCAACAAGGGAAAAACAACGAATAACATACAAGGGAACTGCCGTAAGGTTAACGGCTGATTTCTCAAAAACTCTACAAGCCAGAAGGGAGTGGCATGATATACTTAAAGTGATGAAAGGGAAGAACCTACAACCAAGATTACTCTACCCAGCAAGGATCTCATTCACATTCGACGGAGAAATCAAAAGCTTTACAGACAAGCAAAAGCTAAGAGAGTTCAGCACCACCAAACCAGCTCTACAACAAATGCTAGAGGAACTTTTCTACATGGGAAACACGAGAGAAGAAAAGGACCTGCAAAAACAAACCCAAAATAATTAAGAAAATGGTAATAGGAACATACATATCAATAATTACCTTAAATGTGAATGGATTAAATGCTCCAACCAAAAGACACAGGCTTGCTGAATGGATACAAAAACGAGACCCATATATATGCTGTCTACAAGAGACCCACTTCAGGACACATACAAACTGAAAGTGAGGGGATGGGAAAATATATTCCATGCAAAAGGAAATCAAAAGAAAGCTGGAGTAGCAATACTCATATCAGATAACATAGACTTTAAGATAAAGACTGTTACAAGAGATAAGGAAGGACACTACATAATGATCAAGGGATCAATCCAAGAAGAAGATACAACAATTATAAATATATATGCACCCAACATAAGAGCACCTCAATACATAAGGCAAATGCTAACAGCTATAAAAGAGGAAATCAACGGGAAAACACAATAATAGTGGGGGCCTTTAACACCTCATTTACACCAATGGACAGATTATCCAGACAGAAAATTAGCAAGGAAGCACAAGCTTTAATTGACAATAGACCAGATAGATCTAATTGATATTTATAGGACATTCCATCCAAAAACAGCAGATTACACTTTCTTCTCAAGTGCACACGGAACATTCTCCAGGATAGATCACATCTTGGGTCACAAATCAAGCCTTGGTAAATTTAAGAAAACTGAAATCATGTCAAGCGTCTTTTCCAACCACAACACTATGAGATTAGAAATAAATTACAGGGAAAAAACGTAAAAAACACAAACACATGGAGACTAAACAGTACATTACTAAATAACCAAGAGATCACTGAAGAAATCAAACAGGAAACCAAAAAATACCTAGAGAAAAATGACAACGAAAACACGATGATCCCAAACCTATGGGATGCAGCAAAAGCAGTTCTAAGAGGGAAGTTTATAGCAATACAATCCTACCTCAAGAAACAAGAAAAATCTCAAATAGTCTAACTTTACACCTAAAGGAACTAGAGAAAGGAGAACAAACAAAACCCAAAGTTAGTAGAAGGAAACAAATCATAAAGATCAGAGAAGAAATAAATGAAATAGAAACAAAGAAAACAATAGCAAAGACCAATACAACTAAAAGCTTGTTCTTTGAGAAGATAAACAAAATTGATAAACCTTTAGCCAGACTCATCAAGAAAAAGAGGGAGAGGACTCAAATCAATAAAACTAGAAATGAAAAAGGAGAAGTTACAACAGACACTGCAGAAATACAAAGCATCCTAAGAGAATACTACAAGCAACTCTGTGCCAATAAAATGGACAACCTGGAAGAAATGGACAAATTCTTACAAAGGTATAACCCTCCAAGACTGAACCAGGAAGAAATAGAAAGTACGAACAGACCAATCACAAGTAATGAAATCGAAACTGTGATTAAAAACCTTCCAGCAAACAAAAGTCCAGGACTAGATGGCTTCACAGGTGAATTCTATCAAATATTTAGAGAAGAGCTAACACCCATCCTTCTCAAACTCTTCCAAAAAGTTGTAGAGGAACACTCCCAGACTCATTCTACGAGGCCACCATCACCCTGATACCAAAACCAGACAAAGATACTACAAAAAGAGAAAATTACAGACCAATATCACTGATGAATATAGATGCAAAAATCCTCAACAAAATACTAGCAAACAGAATCTAGCAACACATTTAAAGGATCATACACCATGATCAAGTGGGATTTATCCCAGGGATGCAAGGATTCTTCAATATATGCAAATCAATAAATGTGACACACCACATTAACAAATTGAAGAATAAAAACCATATGATCATGTAAATAGATGCAGAAAAAGCTTTTGACAAAATTCAACACCGATTTATGATAGAAACTCTCCAGAAAGTGGGCATAGAGGGAACCTACCTCAACATAATAGAGGCCATATACCCACAGCAAACATCATTCTCAATGGTGAAAAACTGCAAGCATTTCCTCTAAGATCAGGAACAAGACAAGGATGTCCACTCTTGCCACTATTATTCAACATAGTGGCAAGGAACTCCTAGCCATGGCAATCAGAGAAGAAAAAGAAATACAAATTTGAAAAGAAGTAAAACTGTCACTGTTTGCAGATGACATGATGCTATACATAGAGAATCCTAAAGATGCCACCAGAAAACTACTAGAGCTAATCAATGCATTTGGAAATGTTGCAGGATACAAAATTAATGCACAGAAATCTCTTGAATTCCTATACAC